GATATTCACAACGTCTGTCCCGCCTTCTCGTGTTAGGAGGTCCCACCATCTTCGACGGCCATTTGAAGAATGGAAGATGTTGGATCTTGGGCATAATTGAGCTGATTGGCTCTGACAGCTCCGTATATTTCTTGTCAGCGCGCTTTGTGCGCCTGCTATCGACCTGCAGTTGCTCATTGGCTTGGTGTAGGCATCGATCGCTAGATCGGCGAGAATCCCGTCTCTTGTCTCGTTTAGCCCGCTGTCGTGGTTCAGGGCTTTGAGGTGGTGCGGAACTTATTGGCTGAGCGATTTCGGGAGGGGCCGTTTTGTTGACCATGTGTCCGGCTTTAACCTGCAAGGCGTCGTCTTCCACTTTGCAGTATTCCTCTACTTTCTTTATCAACCCCCAGACTGTTTTGGGGGGTCTTCTAGTCAAGGAACTGCGGAGGGCACTATCTGGGTGTAGTCCCATTTTGAAGGAAGTGATGGCCATGGAGTCGTTGCAAGCGTCATCGACAAGGTTAAAGCATTCCCAATATCGCACCGAATAAGCTCTTAGTGTTTCTCCTGGTAGGATTTGCATTGCCCAGAGGGAGTCGGCTTGCTTTGGCTGGACTTCGTTCGTAATGAATCTGGCCCTGAAGGATTTCTGTAGTTGGTGGAAGGTTTTGATCGAAGCTGGCTCTAGTTTATAATACCACCGGACCGCCAATGGTCCCAAACTGCTAGGAAATATTCGGCACGTGAGGGCCTCGTCGTCTGCATGCAATGTCATGGCCTGCTTGTAGTGGCGGATGTGGTCGGTGGGGTCTGATTTGCCGTCGCACAGGGTGAACGACGGTGCTTTAAATTTCTTTGGTAGCGCAGCCTTTGCGATCCATCGTACGAAGGGGTCGTGTTGGTCTTTGTCCAAACTTTTCCTTCTTTGCTTCTGCATTGTACGGGGACTTTCTTCGGAAGAACTGGTGGTTTCATGTCGTCCCTTCTTCCTGGGCTCCGGGGATAATGAGTCGGAGTCGCTATCAGTGCCTTGTCGTGCTCGAGGTTGTCGACCACCTACCTTCGAAGATCGTTCCGGATTTAGGCGCACAGCTTGTTTGGACTTCGCCATTTCCAAGGCCAAATCTTCACGAAGACGTTCATTCTCAACGATCATGTTCTCCAGCCTCTGTTCATTTTGCTTTGCTTGTTCCATGATCGCCTGCATTGTCTTGTGCTCCGAAGTCGAGGGTGAGGCAAAATTCAAGGCACGTCGTGCGGCAATAGTTTCTGGTCCAAGCAAGTTTGTTGGAGTAGTTTCATCGTGAGGTATAGGGTCGACAGTGACTGTCGAAGGATCTTCCGTCACACTCGCCATGGATGTGCTTGAGTATTCCCACAGACGGCGCCAATTGTGGGTAAGTGGTTTGGAAATACTCTTCGGGATCCTGGGGAACGCTCGTAATCCTCTTATGGTCACCTGAAAAAGAATAAACACTCCAATCGGGGGTGCCGGAATTAGCACTCCGACGGGCAAGTTAGTATCTACACTCGAGGAGGCTTGTATTCTAAGCTAAGCATAGTATTTCTCACATACCTCTTTAGGACTGAAGATCTTGTATTTATAGTATTCTCTTGGGGCCCTGGGGCCTGGTCCACTCCTAGTCCTTGCCATGTACTTCTACACGGCCCTTGTTTCACTGGCAGGAATACCGACTCTTTTATTCGGCCCCAAAAAATTGGATGGGGTCAATGCCGAATAGAAGTTATGTTCTGGACCAAATTGGTCCGCTCCTGTTGATCTAAAATTATTCGGCTCCCACCGAAACCTTTTGAAACTAGAGTTTTCGCAGACCACTCGAACAGTCTTGTTACTACTCGAGCAAACTTTCATGGCATCTAGCATTTTGTTTTGTCTGCAAAAATACTAAGGCCCTGCAATTCACCGCTCGAGTGGTGAAGGGACTGCTCAAGAAAACTGCCTTGTTTCGAAAAAGTTTTGAAATACGTCGTTTTGTTTATATTTTCTTCGTTATTTGTTTCTGGGCATCCTTAGGCATAAATTAAGCCTCATTGAGGATTAATTAAGTTAGGAACCAACATAAATTGATTGGCTACGAAACTAAAGTAAGAGTTTGATTGAACGAAGTGTATTATTCATGTTTGTGTGTTATGTAGGTCGAGCCACTGAGGAGTAGCTTTTGAACCAAGTCCCTATGAATAATATCTTTTTAAAGATATTTTCTTAAATTATTTTCCGAAATGTGTGATGTGATAAGCTTTCTGAAATTATATTTTGTTATGAATGAATGAGATTTCCTTTTTGGTTATCTACTTTTGCATCCCTTAGTTAGTCCTAATAATGGGAGATATTGAAATGTCTTAGTTTCGGAGATCTCTGTTAGATTCAACCCAATGGGGTTGTTAGCTTTGTTATCGACCCTATGTGGTTGTTAGTTTCGTTGTGGACCCGAGTAGTCAATGTGCTTAGTTCTAATGGATGTACCACATATGTGTAATTCAATAAAGATTTGTTATGTATTCCTTACATGTGTTATGATTATGATTCAAAAATGTTTTAAGAATGTTGGAACTCAATTAAACCCTTTACATTGATGTTAGTCATTGGGCTTCTAGTTCACCCCCTTCCCCTATATATATGCAGGTGAGCATCAAGATGATCAGGTGTAGAGTTTGCATGGGAGTTAACCCATTTGGTGAAGCCATCCGAAGGTATACCTCCATTGCGAGGCTTTTGTTTTTGTTTTTGTTTTGCCAATCATGTATGCAAACTTGTGATGTATAAGATAAATGTTTTTACTTCATGTAAATATTATTATAAGGTATGTTATGTAATGTTTTGAATGTTTCGGTTCATATAATTTATGCACAGCTCAATGGACAACATTATTTCTGTTTTTGCCTTCGCTTTAGGCCCCAATATATATTAAATATTTTGTGATTAGTTTAGAAGGCCATAGGTAATCTATGATTACTGGTCGGTCACCACTCTAACCTTCAAGGGCAAGTTGGGGTCGTGACATTAACACTTGGATTAGACTTGAATTATTAGAATAGCACTTGACACTAGTGTGAAGTTTCGGAAAACACTAAGTTTAAGCTTATTCTTGCTTTGTGTAGGTTAAGCTTCGGAAGAGTATACCCTTTGTTCAAGGGGCCATTTGTGAGTAGTAAAGTAATATTTAATAAGCTATGTTCAAATGAAAACCTATGCTATTATTTTGCTATGAATGAACATCATATATTCTTGTATTGTGTGTTAAGATGTCACCTTGGAATATGTCTTTATTATTAGGAAATCATGCCAATAATCTCTTGCTAACTGAGCTCCTCTTGCCACCTTGGTGTGGGTCTTGATGTTCTCGAAGTCCTTAAAATGTTCATCACTATGTAAATGTTTGCAAGTTAAGCATTTTTATAATCATAATCAAGTTATGCTAAATTCAAACTATGATTTTATGCTATGTTTTATTAAAGATCATCAGTATTCATTCATTTACCGCTTGCTATATTACTACTCACTGATCAAAGGCTCACCATTCTCCCTTATATGTATGTAGGTGATGAAGAAGAACACGGTTCTGAAGAGAAGTCAGTTTAAAAGTCTTTTTCTTTTGTTTTTGTTCCTTGAGAGATGTTATCCCTAAGAAGACAGTTTTGTATATGTGTTATGGTTTGTAAGCTTGTATAAAAGATGATGTAATTTCCTTTCTTTGTGTTGTTTGGACTTTCTAAATAATCAAGATATCAATCTAAGAAGTAAGCTTGTTTCATTTTTGTATAACTTATGCACATGCTTTGAATGGGCTTTGGTAATTAATGGATTAAAACTTCCGCTTATGCCCCAATTATCGTTAGTCCAACTTTATCTTGTCTTGTTAGGCAGATGGTAGTTGAGCACTACTATCTGGTCACAATGCCATCATCTTTAAGGGCAAGATGGGGTCATGAAATGGCGGACCATCTTCTAAAAACTGCTCTGTTTGTCATCGGCCAACTTTTATCCGGCCATCTGTTTATTGTACGACCGTTGCATAAAGCTACAGGTGTGCAACAAAATCATACGATTGGGGTCAAGGTATATGGCTAGGGTCAATTTTGGGCAATCATTGTATTTCTAAAGGATTTTCCTCCTTTTCATTCATTGCTACTCTGTTCTCATTCCTTTTTCGGAAGAAAACAAAGTTTTGATTAAAATATGAGCTTTGAACATAGTAGAACGCTTGGATTTAGCAAGTCCAAAAACATTTCGAAAATAGTTTTTTAAGGGTCTAAAATTATTTTGGCTAAAACAAGTATAGGATTCGGATCTCTTTTCATCCACGGTTTTCGAACTAAAGATAATTGAAGTTACATATTTTTGTTTTCATCATTGGGTTCTAAGAGGTGCTCAAATTTTAAAAACAATCAAAATTGAGTGTCTACAAAGCCAAAGACCAAAAATCGAGCAAACAACAACCAAACACGAGCTAGAAGGGACAATCATAGCCAAGGAGGCACAGAAACACCCTAGTCAGCACCTAAGAAGTGAACCCATGGAAAAATTTGAACAAAAAATAGCATGAAATCGGAAATCAAAAAAAATGCCCATTTCTTTTTTTAATAAAGAAAAATTCAATAATTGGGCATCAAAAAAAAATCCAAAAATTTTGAAAATTTTTCAAACACTCCTGCCATAGGCAAGCATCATAGAATTTTTTTTTTTTTTTTTTTTTTTTTTTTTTTTTTTAACTTACTAAAGTCAAGCGAAAAAAAGAAAAAAAAAAAAGAAGATGAAAGATAGAACAGGAGGAAGAAGATTACATGGTAGCTCTGATATCAAGTTAAAATTAATCAAAGATTAAGTGAGGAGAGGAGAAGACCAGAGAGAGATTTGTAGGAGAGGCAATAAAAACAAAATTAGCTTTTTCCCCTCTTACCCAACATATTTATATTCAAGGCTAATAAATCTAAAATTACAAAGCTATCCTTCTTCTAACTGAACACTTTTTTGCTAAAAATTCACAACAGTAGAATCATTTTTGAGATATTGGCACCTCAAAATTCTCATAGAAATTCTCATATGATTTATCCATTGTTAACAATTGTGAGTGTTTTGAAATAGATTAACTTGGGAACATATATGTGACAATTTCTGTGTCACGTCTAACAGCTAACAAAAGACATGTACCAAAAGGTAACAAAAACAACAGGTTCAAAAATAAAATTACAAGAGTGCAGAAGCTAGACTTCCAACTCAAAATTATTACATAAATAACTATGAACGCTCTAGTGCATTTGCAGCAGCTTGCATAAAGAAAACAGCCTCTAATACTTGTATTAATCCTCGAACAAGTGAAGATTGGTTGGGCAAAGCTCGATCAGGTCTCAAGTGCATTTGCAGCAGCTTGCATAAAGAAGATGAAACAGCCTCTAATACTTGTATTAATCCTCGAACAAGTGAAGATTGGTTGGGCAAAGCTCGATCAGGGTTTAAATGCAGAAAAGGCCACGACGGAGTTGTGTCCACCAAAGCCAAATGAATTTGAAATGCCTGCATAGCATATGATAAAAGTTCATGTCTGTTAAACCCCAACAATGCCCAGCTAAAGCAATTGAGCAAAGATGCTGCAGGGTTTTCCTTATCCTTTTTCTGGTTTTTAAGCTAGCTAAGGTTATTTAGGAAGAAGATAAGAAGAGGGTGGTGAAGCATGCAGAACATCTTACCAACATTGACTTCATGCTGCTGCTTTTTGTCTGCAACGGTGTCAAATTCAACACAAGGCTCTAAGTTCTGCATTTATCCGAAAGGAACGGTATCAATAATCATAACAGACAACATAAATAGTTAAGAACCATTAGATTATGAAATTAAAAGTAGGCCCACTCATATTCACACAGAATGCAGTAAATACCACAAAAAGGAAGTGAAAAAAATTTAAAGTCTCTTCGACTATCAGCTACGTACAAGTCTCATTGTATCTTCTGTTCTTGTGCCTGGTTTTCTCAACAGAAAATTAAGCAGTGGATACAGATCAAAGTTGTAAATACCGTATTGTACCAGAAGGTACAACCCAGTTTATCAAATAAACCCTATACTATCAGTTCTGTTTTAAAAAATTTCCAGGCCTATCTCGGACCATTTGAGGAATACTGAAAAGTTTTGCTTTTCTCCTGCCATATCAACCTCTGAGAGTGTTAGCGGTTACAAATAAAAAGAAAAATGAGAAGCAGAATATTTCAGACTTGAACAAAGGTGAATTAACGACATGGTTGGTATTTCATTTGTCAGATTGGGAAGGCTTTTTCAGCTGCACAATCTCTCCATCTTTAACAACTAGAGCAAAACCATCTCCCCCACTGGACATTGCTCCACAACTCTCCTGTCTCCATCCATGTACAAACTGTACTTGGCCAGTGTTGAAAATAAAATTGGGATGCTTTGCAGTCTTTGAACAGGTAATGGAGAGAGACGGGTTTTGAACTTTTGGAAACATGCACCAACTCCTTTAACTTTATTTTATTTTGAAATGCAAGGTGGGTTTCATCTTTAACGACAAAGGTGCAAATTAGTTTTTAATTTTAAATTTACTGCAACCGTAGGAATATAGAATTCATTTTTTTATTCACTATACTCCTGAAATTTAAAGAACAGTCCAATAAACTAAATAATGTCTATTCATCAAATTTTATAAACAAATATAATATTTTGACAAATATATCACACAATGATAAATCTGAAACAGTATCCGAAAAGTACTGGTATCAATACGTACCGTACCAGTAATAAAAATAATACTATAGCTTGTACAATATTCAACACATTGATATAGATACAAAGAATTGATTTTATTTTTTTTATTTTATTTTTTGTCACCATGGGTTGGAAATCATAGCACTAAGATTCGAAAGTTCCTCTTTTTTTCACCAAGGATTTTGATGGCAAAATAGAACATACTTGGAAATAAGAACCCTTTTGAGTTTTACTAGCTAGCTATTTGTTTCACAACTAACATTATAATGCTTAGTCATACTTTGGCCATTTGCAAAATTAGTATGTTGACGCATTTTTTTTTCTTCTCTCTCTCTTATTGTTAGGTTAAGATAATTCAAGTTTAGATTTGCTAAAGTTGAAGATCTCAACTTCATAGGTGAAGTTGGTGCATTGTTAATGCGAGATTACTGTACTGATGTCAATAATCTAAACCGTGCATCTCATATGACAAATTGAGGAGAACATGTATGCAAAAAATTAGGTCGATCAAACATAAGTAATTACGTGATCAAATCACATACATATTATAACCAATGGACGGCTTATTCTTAAAAAACATGTAGACCATAGAGATAAAAATGATCTAATAATATGACAATCGATGTTGGATCAACTTAATTTTTTGCATGGATAATATTCTCAGTTAGTTGCATAAGATGAACAGTTTAGATCACTGAATTGAGTCCAAGTTAGTCTGATAACGGGTCAACTTCACCTTGAAGTTGAGATCTATTTTAGAAATCTAGACTCAGATAATTCTGATTAAGAAGCACCAAGAAGCCACTCCAATGTGCTCAACCCCTAAATTCTACATATTGTTTTTCGAGGAAAAACTTCTCCTTGATCCTCAGATTAAGAATGACTCCTCCGCCACTGAAGGAGACAATTCTGTTCTCCCCAAAAACACCACATTAAACAGAGGGCCATGTGACCACACATTCCCCCTGTTTGAAAACTGCATTAGCCACTGAGTTTAGGAACAAACAGATATTCCAAATGTCATCATCAGCAACAGGACCATACCTTGCTAGCCACTCTATGGTGTATGAGAAGATGATTCACAATTCCACTGAGTATAGTAATTTCATTTTGACTTTTCTTGTTGAAATGAAATCACCAATTGTATGTCTTTGGTTGAGCTGCTTACCTAAACAAAAAATGGCAACCTTTGAGGGAACTCTTGACACTCCAAATCTCCTTCTGAGGAAACACTGTGTCTGAGGTACCAATTAGCAACCGATGAGATATGGTTTAACCTGAATCTTCGGTGTTGGAAGCAATCAATCCAATCTCATCCTCTTCTCCAACTCTACTGATAGTGTAAAAGATCTCAAAGAACTCTGCATAACCACCTTAAGCTAAGGAACATCCAACACCAGCCTATCAACCTTCAATCTAATACAATCATCCACCAAAACATCATTTGAGGCAAGAATCCTATATAGATTGGAAAAAAGATCACCATGCAAGCATCCTTGCATAAGCCAAAAGCTCACATTGGTGGTAGGTGATGGTAAATTCTAACACACCATATGAAGCAGAGACACCAAAATGTCTGTCATGGCTGCGTCCGGAAAATATCAGATGCAAATAGGCTTTGAACATAGCTAGATGCATGTCATGACATCAGTTGTGTCCATTTTTTCTTTAATTTTGGGTTTGGACACATTCAGGACATAGCGGGGTGTGGATAGTTATGCATAAATGAGATATTAGAATTGGTTAACTGAATTAATTTAAATAATCCAATGGATAAAATTTAATTGGTAATTAATTAGAGCTTGCCTCCACCTTTTCAAGATTATGGATCGAATGGTGTTTTTCATTTTGAATGTGTTATTTTTTCATACTTTGGAATTCAGAGGTTTGTGGATGCCATATTCATATGCATAACAAATAAGAATTTATTAAAACATATATTTGTATTCCTATTGTGTCCGTATCCGTATCTGTGTCGCATCTCTATCCCATGCCCATGCTTATTAGAATATACCTCTAGAATTTATTTAAAAATATATACTTTTGTTGTATTCCTTTTGTGTCCGTATCGACGTTGCGTCTCTATTTCATGTCCATGCTTATTAGAATATACCTCTAGAGCTCTTCCATCCTCTCCTAATGCATTTCCACGAACTCACAATAAGATAGTTATACACCACTGGTTCATGAAACTAGTGGTCTTTGCCATCATAAAAAATATGTTTTTAAGCAAATGTTCATAATCATTTACCTAGTAAAACTTGCTTAAACAATCCAAACCTCCTAATACCTAGACAATCTATTGGCATTTGAGAGCACATAATATCCTAATCCACCAAATGATGCTTAAGCTCATCTATCATACCACCCCAAAAAAAACTATACAATTGAAAATGTGGAAATGGATAGAAAAGAAAGACTAGACAAAATATTCTACCTCCTTTTTTTTAATTATTGAAACTTTCACCCCCACCAACCTCCTCAAAACCTCTCCAGTACCAATTGCCAAACTCCTTTGGCCTCAAAACCTCCTCAAAACCTCCTTTTTTTAAGTATTGAAACTTTCACCCCCACCAACCTCCTCAAAACCTCTCCAGTACCAATTGCCAAACTCCTTTGGCCTCAAAGGAAGAACCAACAAGCAACCTAAACGCATGGTGGACAAGGAATCCACTCTGCAACCAATGAACAAAATTTCATGTCTTTTCCATCGAAACGGCCAAATGTTTCATTTTCACAGCTGAAATGTTTCATTTTTCTAGAAAACTGAAATGAAACATTGGTAGAATACCGAAATTTCAATGTTTCTACCAAAACATATCGAAACGTACAGAAACAACTTATTGTTCCGACAACTATTAAGAATATTTAACAATACTCATTTATTTTTGCCTCATTCTGTCGAAAGAAAATATATGAGAATAATAAAAATATATTAAATTTATTAGAGAATTTGAAAAACTAGAAAGCAAAAGAAGAGAGACTAAAAAGAGAACATAAAACAAGCATGATTAATTCACTTATTCTCCTTCTTTGTACCGCAAAGTACTTTTTCTCTCTTTTTTTTCATCCTTGCAATTATAGAATTTTTTTATTATTATTATTATTTTATTTTTTTTAATGTTTTTCATACAATGGCAAACATATTCCCCAACTTTAAACCTTTTATTTATGAGATTCTATATTCATAGACCTCAACATGTTCATTTTTTTTATTATTGAGGATGTACATGTATTAACATTTATATAGGTTTTAGTTTATTTCCTAACCTTTTCAATATTTTTTCTCATTTCCCTTGCATTTCCAAAACATTTCTGTTTCCATGCTAACCAAATCAAAATTTTGATCCTTGTCTACAACAAAAATATACATCAAAGCACATACCCCTCCAATTGTAATGACTCCAATTTAGCCAAACTCACCCGTAATCCCAAAATTGCCTTAAAGCATAAAAGCACTAAACTCAATAACCTTCATCTACCCATCAACAATAGCTCGATCAGCATACAACAGATAATAAACAGGGATGGAAGATCCCTCCCTCATAGCCTTTTAAGAAACCAATAAAACAAAATAAAAAAGTAACCCTGCACCATCTTTAACGTGGTGAATGTCCCCAAAGAAAGAATATATAGCAAAGGAGAAAGAGGATCTCCCTACCTTAACGTTCTCCCAATATCAAAAGAACCAGAAGGGGATCCATTCATCAAAACAGGCCCCCACATCAAATCCCTCTCCAATTCTTAATAAAGCACAAGCTATTTAACACTGATCCATTACATTCAAAGATTGAAGAACAGGAACTCATATTTGGTGGCAAAGAAAGGGTTTCTTGCTTCTCATATGGATTGACAGATTTATAGAAACTCCTTTTCCACAACATATCATCATTTAATAAAGCTCCGTTCAACAATATACTTAACTAATAACTTCATGCAATGAAATATTTGTAAATTATTGTTGAATGTGCAAGACGTGTTCATCTACTATTCCCAAATTTTTGACACGTCTAAAACAAATTCCCCACATCCTAATATTTTGGAAGCTCAGAAATCTAGAGGCACAACCATACTCAGAAACACTTACTCGGGTTGCCGTAACAAAGTTTCTCTAACATTTAAGCTTTAAAATATGAGGTTGACTATCCATCAAAAAGAAGTAGGCAAATAATACCAACTGTTAAACAACAGCTCACGTCAACTTCTAGAACATCAAATATGGACAAAAGTAAAAGGGAAGTGCTATGTAGATAGCAGTACATACAAATTGATTTATGGTAGGATGCAACCACCCCGTGTTGATGGCTTTTACTGTAGCAATGGCTTCCAAACCCCCAGCAGCACCAAGACAGTGACCTATCATAGACTGATATGGAAACAGAAAAGAAAGGGGAAAAATTAGAAGAAAAACATATGTCTGAAAACTGCAAGCAGCAGCATCATGGGTTATGTTACCTGCTTTGGCCCTGTGAGTACCAGATAAATGATGCACTAGCAAACACCAGTGAGAGATAGAAAAAGAGTTTACCTTGGTTGAATTCATTTTGATCTCTGAAGTGTTTTTGAATACCTTCTTTATGGCATTCACCTCAGCTACGTCACCAGCTGGAGTGGAAGTTGCATGTGCATTTATGTAGTTAACCTGAAAAAAGATAGTGAATTTTGATTCATTAGTTTTTGGGTTTCAGTAATTTCAATTCTTAGATGCAGTCTGCTTGTGTAGCAGAAATCAAACCACACTTTTAAACTTAAGTGAAGAAAAAGCTTTACAATAGAAGGACAAACCGTGAATAAGTAGTGGATATACACAAAAACTGTAGTTTCTCGCCCTCTCAACAAGCCAAAAGATGGGATTCTATGAAGAATTTTAATTCTTCACCAAATAATCCAATAAGGTTTTGGGTTAGAGGTATGTATAAACAGAACCACTGCAAGTGCATGCACATCATTTTCTGGCCAGGATTTCATGACAGATGATTAGAATTGAAACTCAACTCCATCCCTCTATCTAGATGCCAGAATCTTACTCCCATGGTACAATGGCTTTGGCACAAACAGAATGCTATGAGGAGAGTTGCATTGTTGCTGCAAAATGCCCACTGCTCACTACCACCCAAACCATGAAGATGGTGATATGTGATGTCTTATATTGACACCGGGATTTTGCATTCAATAATTCATGGTAAACGCGTAACATGTCTAAATTAATTTAGTCATATTTCCTTCATTTAAACCTATTTTGGAGCTCATTAGGATAGAAGTTAAATAACAACAATAACAGCAATTAATAGCAGCAATTGAAAAAATAGTGATATACATAGATTGTATATAAAATCAAGAAATAAAATACATTCAGATATTATGACATGCAGTTCACTTAAGAAATGGAAAAGATACAATCACACTCCAAAGAACTATCAGGTAAGCATTTCATATATTATTTGGAGAAATCAGATGCGAAAAGCTGAAGAAGCAGTTGGAAGCAAGAATATCGAAGAAAAAATGGACCAAATTGTTGGAGATAAGATTATATTGTCAAAAAAAAAGATATTAGAAGATATGAAAGATATCAGAATATATGGATCTCCAACACAAATGGGCATACCAAGGTTCCTGGAATAAATTGGATAGTGCTTATCCAAGCTATAATGAGAAGGTAAATTTTCACTCTCTAAAGAGTACGAAAAGAAAGCATGAGAGAAGAGCACTCATCCACTATATTTCTTAAGCTCCAATGCCGTTAGAATCGAGGTCGTTAAAATTGGGATCCTAGGTAGGATCGATGAGAGGGTCTTGTGGATCAGATCATAGGATTGGATCGAGGATCGTAAAATCCTACTTTCTATTAAAAAAAAGATAAAAATATAAATTTGAATGATACATATTAAAAATAAGGTGAAAAATCACAATCTACGATCCTACTTACGATCCTGCATGATCCCATACGATCCTACTTGCGATCCTATTATAACATCGACCCTATAATGATCTGGATCGTTTTAGCAATGTCGGATCCTACGATCCGGATTGCAATTTTAATAACCATGGTTAGAATGTATGGTTTTTGTGCATTAACCATAAATATTAGTATGCATATGAAATATAATTCATTTAGGAAATATGCATAAACTTCTTCAGATTATAGATTAATAATTCAAAGATGCTTCCGATATAAGTATTTAGAAAAAATTACAAAAAATTGTGAGAATATTAGTGTATCTCTATATATGGTAGTATATATTTTGCATATATGTTGAGAGAGAAACAAAGTAGAATTCCGGGTACAAGCGAGAAACGCAAACTGAGCAATTGCTATCTGAAAACGGTCATACCAAGCATGAGGAGACTGCTTCAAACCATAAAGAGCACGGCGAAGATGACACACTTATCCAAAAGAATGAGGAAAACCATGGGAAGAACGCATGTAGATCTCCTCAGCGAAATGGCCATTAAGAAAAGTATTCTTAACATCCACCTAATGGAAAAGCCAATGATGAACAGCAACAACAAAAATCAAAGTACGAATAATAGTTATTTTGGCAAAAGGGGCAAAGGTCTCCTCAAAATCAATATTATACTCCTGTAAGAAACCTTTGGCAACCAGGCGAGCTTTGTAGCGCCCAAGAAAACCATCAAAATAAATCTTGATTTCATAAACCCATTTGCAACCAACCAGATTCTTGACAACAAGCAAAGGAATCAACTCTCAAGTAGCAGTCTTCTGCAATGCAGACGACTCATCCTCCATAACTCGAACCCAATTAGGATCCTAACGGGCCTCCTTGTAAGGCTGACGTTTTGAAAAATAATAAATAGCAGACAAAAAGGTACAGTATGAAGGAGAAAAACATATTTTAGCAAAACTAAGTTTGACAACTTGTTTACGGTTGTGAAGGGGACACTTAAGGTTAGTAAGATCAGAGTCGTCACAAGCAGGAAGATCAACAGCAGGGGAAGAGACAACCGGTGGAGGTAAAGCCTTGCGACGAGAATAGATTAACAACGGAGGAGAAGAAGCATGAGGGGAAGGTGGAGGAGAAAAGAGAACAGACTCACAGGAGGACAGTAGAGAGAGACTCAGCTAGAGGGGTGGTAGGAGGAGAAGAGGGAACAAACTCATGTGGTACAGTAGAGATAAACTCATCAAGAGGCACCTCAGAAGGAAATGAATCAATGTGAACCAAATTCTCTTTGAAAACCGGGACAATGATATAAGGAAGTTGAAAATAAGACAAACATTCGAGCAAAGAAACATGGTAGGAGATATAAAGACGACGAGAAACAGAGTCGTAACAACTAGGGGTGTTCGCAGATCGGTTTTGTGCGGTTTATGGTTCGGTTTTGACCCGCCCGCATCTATGCGGTTTAGGAAAAAGTCAACCCGCAACCGCCCGCAGTGCGGTTTGCGGTTTGTGCGGATAGGGTTTGTAAATGTGCGGGCGGTTGCGGGCGGTTTGCGGTTTACACTTTTTTCTTTAAAAATTAATTTTAAGTTTTTTTTTTCCCATCAAATTTAGGCATTAGATTCATTTTATATATTTGTGATCAATTGATAACAATTTTCTGATGAGTTTACAAATAAAAATTGAATATCACTAGCATTTTTGTCATGAAAAAAATGTATATCAATGCATTAAAGGTTGTACTCAATTAGAATTGTCAATTCAGTAATCAATAATCAAACTAGAAGCTTCATCGATCACCAGAAGAAAATTTTTATTAGAAAAAAGTGGATGAGACATCAATGAAAATCATATAAGAAACCAAGTTTAGGACTTGATAATTCTACGACATTAAGAAAGTTGAGAAATACTTAAAAATAATGATCCTAGTGTCATAGAGAATATAATGGTGCTCCTGTTAAAGTTACAAAGTTGGTATATAAAAAATAATATTAATAATACTAATTAAAGTGCGGGCGGTTTTTGCGGGTTGCGGTTTTAACCCGCGACCCGCAAATTTGTCATATTTCAAACCGCATCCGCCCGCATTATGTTTGCGAAACCGCCCATTTATATGCGGGTTGGGCGGTTTGAGCGGTTCGGATAAACCGTTGCCCACCCCTAGTAACAACGATAGCCTTTCTGAGTAAGACTGTAACACAAAAAGGCACACAGGACAGACCGAGCACTAAGTTTTGTCCTATCTTTATAGGGAAGGACAAAACAAGCAAACCTAAACACACGAAGGAGACAGTAATTGGAAAGTTGAGAAAGTAGAGCCTCATAAGAAGACCAACCAGAGAGGAGAGTAGGCATATAGTTGAGAAGAAAAGTAGCAGTCAGAATTGCCTCACCCCACAACAGAGCCGGAATAGAGGCAGAGAGAATAAGAGACCTAACTGTCTCAAGGAAATGATGGAGTTTATGCTCAGCTTGACCATTTTGGGCAGGTGTATCAGTACATGAAGTTTGATGAATGGTACCCAAATTGGTCAAATACTAACAAAAATAACCCCAGAGTTTGCCCCTTGTAAAAAATAACCTTGAATTTTAATTTTTTCAAATAAAACTCTGAATGTTTAAATTAGACACAATTTCAACTCTTTTTCTATTCTTATTCCAAAATAGCTCGGATACGAATATCGAATGCGTATTATATACGAATACGAGTCCGATAGGGCAAGATACAAATCAAATGCAGCAAAAGAGTATCCGCTTTATTTATTTTTTATTATTATTATTTTTTTTTTTTGTGAATTTCAAATACATTTCGGGTACACATGGATACATGTAGAACACGTACATAATACTTTTGGGATGCTGTGGGGCATAAACACAATTTTTAAAACCTTTTTCGAGTCAAACTGTAAAAATAGTAAAATTGAATGGAAAATAATAGAAATCAGACAACTCACACTTCCATTACCCTTCTAAAATCAAACGACGTAAGGACAAAAAAAAAAAAAAATCTCAAATTTACAAATTGGCAAAGCATTGAAGCAAAGGCAAGGAACCTAAATTCAACGATTGAACAAACAATTCACTCACTTTGTCTTGTTTAGCAATAGGACTTGCTCGCTCGCTCACTCTCTCAATCGACCACTCAACAACAAGTTTCTCTCTCACTTTTTGGTTTCTCTTTCTTTTCTGATTTCGTTTTTTTTTTTTTCCCTCCTTTCTCTCTTTGGTTTCTATTTATTTTTTGGTTTCAATATTTCTCCTCTCTTTTTTTCGACTCTCTTTCATCTACAAGCTCCATGCTTATGTTGGCAATAGACTCTTTGACGTATTTTCCTAAATTTTAACTTTCTATATTTTTTAAGTGAAGTTGAAGATTCCCAAATAGAAATAGTAATATTATATTAATTTTACTTTTCAAAGTGTGGTTGTCTTGTGTGATGAAAGTTTAATTTTAAGTAGAAGGCATGAAATTTAATGTTAGTATTTCTTTATCAAATTTATAATTTTAGGAAAATGAGTTCTGGTTTGAGAAGTTTTGGTTCAACAAGTGGAGGTGGTACACCAATGAATGAAGATGATCATGCTCCTCTGTGGAGTTATGTTATAGAAGTTGAAAAAATGGGTGAAGGAGGTGGCAATACAAAATTTAAATGCGATTATTGTCAAAATGAGTATAAGGGGTCATACTTTAGGGTCCAAGGCACATTTGTTGAAGCATTCTAGCCATGGGATTAGAGTGTGCCTAAAATAACTCCACCACCTTGTTGAATTGCAAAGAAAAATTGAAGAAACTTGTAGCGCCTTGGGTCAAAAACTGACTTGAACCCTCTTAAGTGTGAACCTGTTGAATGATTTTGGATTGCTGAGTTTTTGCTTCAATTAGTTCTCTTGCATTGCAATCAACCTTCATCCAGCTTCTTGATTTCAATTTACAGCATCTGTGATTTGTGTTTGACTTGGTCGAGCTTGGTAGTTGTTTTGAGATCGTACTATGTAGATCTGAGTTTCATAAGTGATGGCATCTTCGATGTGGATTTGGTATGATTTTTGAAGGAGTCTGAACTGTCGACCTATATTCAAGAGGGTTTGTATAGTACTATGCCACATATTCACTTCCTTCTCTTTTTCTTTTCTTTTTGTTGTACCTCAGAGTAGAAGTTGGCACGGTTTGAAGTTGATTAGAATTTCATGGCTCAGAGAGGGAGGGGCTCAAAGAGGTGCTTGTCAGCCGAGGAAGAGCTTATGCAGCGAATTTGGGTGAAGAAACCAAGATGAGTTTCTCAATTGAAAGAAATAATGAGAACCAAAATCAAAGGAGTAAGATTGAAGAGTTGAGTGAATAAGTTTCTACCTTGATTGGGTGAGTGCAATGGTTGCAACTTCTTTTCGTAGGTAGAAATGGTTCCAAGGATCATCAACTTCATGATTCTTTCGGTGCTCCGCGTTGGCATAGAGCGTGTTCACATGGTTTCGATTATACACGAGAGAGTACTGTCAAGGATTTTGTGCTTCCCGAATTTCATAGAAGCTATATCCCGAATGTGTTAATGGTTAAACAATAATTGAGAGTCTTTTGGCATGTTATGAGGTGTCAAAAGAAAAGAAGGTGAAATTGGTCTCTCAAAGCCTAAAAAGTCATGCCTTCAATTGGTGAAAATAAATACAGTTTCGTAGACAAAGAAAAGGCAAAGAAAAAGTTGTGTGGAAGAAGATGAGAAAGAAGCTCTTCAAGTAATTCTTACCTTTCATTCTTAACAATCTTTGTTGGGAGACAAGCAACAAAAGAAGTGTGCTTTCAAATCTGAGCATCATCACCAAGGCATCTTTGAAGCTAGACATCCATTCTACACCTATATCCAAGAGGATTACTCAACTAGTGTTGAAAAGAGCAAGTGTTTTGAAGATGGACGTCATCTAGAACTCTTTAGTCAGGAGGTTTTAGCACCAAGCTAAGATGATGGTCAATTTTATATCTTTGATGAAGAAGATGCGAAAGAAAGTTGTGACAAAAAACGAGATTGTGATCAAGATCTTCCCATCTTTTATGAAGATATTCCCATCTTTGATGAAGACATGGAACAAGGTGATGAACACGAAGTTTCCATTTTCGATGAACCAACAAGTGAGGAGTGGGAATTGAATTGTGAAGAAGTTGATGGTTGTGATTTTGACAGTGTTCGAATCTTTGATCACTATGATGATGATGAGCTTGTTGAATATGGTGGGGGCAATATTGACTTTTCTTTTACATTGCTTCTTAGGGAAGAAGTGGTTAAAACTCAACCTTCCATCCCTTTTCTAGATGCCAAGGAAATTATGGAGGAGAGTCACAAAGTTATTGAAGTTCCATGGGGATTTGATAATGTTTGCTTTCAAGAAGTGCCTCTCATACTACGTTCAACGCAAGTTAGTCTAGTTGGTGTAGACTTGATACTCAAACCCACTTTGTTTAATAAGCATGGTGCTTGGCACCTTTTGATAGCATGTGTGAAGAGCTACTTTGGTGATGTTTTGCTTCACAAGTGGCATGCTATATGGGTGGTCTACTCACATTTGAATATGGCTTTGGTGGATGCGCATAAACGAAAACTCACTTTCAATGAGGGGTATTTGTTATGGTGCATTTTGGAATAAGGACTTACAACCACATAGGTCTTATTCATCGGTGGAATCCATTATGCTTCCATGAGTCATTTTGCAGTCTCGAGTCATTTTGTTGTAGTCCCACCTTGAGGAAAATTTGTTTTCTTTAGAGGGCGAATATGATGTAGTTAGAATTACCATGGTTGTTATGTTTTTAGTAGCCATAAGAGTTAGTTGTCTTTTATCCTATAAATAGGTGGTTAGGCCCCTCTAGTATTCATTTCTATGATATCTAAAGATTATATTTTAGAGCTTAGTGCTCTTGTATCCCATTTTAGGCATTTTCTCTCTCTAATGAAATCCATTTCCTAATTTGGACACATCATTTGGACTTGTTTTATATAAATGTTACAATAATTTTGGAGAACGTTTATCTTATATTATCTCTTTTCATTATCGCACAACGAAGTTGTCTTCCTTTTCCTCTATTTTCTTCTCTCCTTTCAGTACTCCTAAATCCGACTCATATCTATATATAGCAATGTAACAGTCTTCTAAAAGCCTCCAAACAATCAATCCTAAAATCTCATAAATAGTTAGCGTTCTCCCTCGTACATGGCACTCCTCCCTTCCCCAACCCACAGCCCTCTTTATTCTCATTTTCTGATTTTGTAATATGACTAATCTTTTTTTTTAGATGTAGCTAGAGTCAAATGCAATTCATTTTGATTACCATATAACAGAAAAGAATAACAAAAGTTTTTGTTATCTTAAATCTCACCCTCGATTTTTAAAATCAAAATTTGGAAACAGAAACTTTTGAATTAGAAATTTACTTACCATAAAGGAATCCTTTCCAATTTCTTTACACAGTTTCTCTATCTTCCATACACCAAATTTGTATACTTAATTTAAATAAAATATTTTATTGTGTATTATATGCTACAATCAGAACGATAATTTTAATAACCATTGAACTTTATAAATCTTGAGCACCGCTCACTGCTCATACATTTGTACAAAGAAGATTTTAATCTGATATAGTAATAAATGAGGATAATAATGAATATTGACCTTCAGATTTGAGATGAAATGTAATGCGTCATCATGTACACAATAATGAGTAAAAGTGCTTGACAGATAATATGCTAATTTACGAAGAACGGGAAACCATGAGAGTAAATTTTGAAGTGGACTGAACTAATTGGAAAGTATCCTCATTCAAAAGTAAAAAATAAATCATCCAGCATATAGTTCAAGCAACCTGACTTGAGGAAAACAAATAAATACCTCTTCTGGTGACACACCAGCGTCTTCAAGGCTTCTCTCAATGCATGAAGAGACACCTAGTCCATCAGCTCTTGGATCAGTCATATGATGAGCATCACAATTTACTGCACCTCCCAAGTATTCTGCAATAATTGGTGCACCTCGTTTCATTGCATGTTCCAAGCTCTCCATCACCTACCAAGGACATAGTAAATCATCACAAACTTAAAGCATTGTATACAAACACATATCCTAAGAACCAGTCAATAGAAACATATGCGATTAGAACCAGAAATAGTTTATCTAGTTGAAAATCTAGTGACGGGGAGGAGGGAAAGGAGGAAAGTAGTGTATTCTGCGTATGCATCCTCCGATATTAGCTAAAGTCAAAGCAAGGTTATGAGATTCAAAAGTAATCCAGGAACAAATGAGTCAACAAATAAATTTTAAAGGGAGCACTTTGTGCTACTTCCAAGTAACTGTAATTGATAGCAAATCTCAGCTCCAAAAGCTAAGAAGCATGGACACAGACACACAACAAGACACGGACACGGACACGCCGACACGCCAATTTTAAAAAATTGCAGGACACGACTTGTAGGAGACATGCACAAAATATATAATTTTATATATTTATTATATATCATATATATGAATATATCATTCAAAGATAATAAAAAAAATGTAACATAACACTTATTTTATAAATTTAAATTGTTTTTTCTTCCATTATTGTATGCTAAGTTAATTAGTTTAAACTTATAATTAGTTTCATCATGCATGTCTAATTAGTGGACATGTGTATTCAAGCAATGGACATAGGGTATGAAGAGTGACCGGATCTAAAAAAACTTTTTAAAAAATAGGACACGTTTTAACGAGTGTCGAACACGTGTCAGAAAGTGTCCAACAATGGACACGACACGGATACACCACCTTCTTAGAAATGTCTCTGCTTCTTAGTCCAAAGGTCATATAGACAAAATCCATGTACAGGTTCTGCAAGCACTTCCCTTCAGAAAGTATAAAATCATGCTTTTAGGCATGACAATGGAACTTTTCGGAACTCATTGTGCATGTCTTTTGTTTTTGTCCCATGAACTGGAAAAGGAAGAGCCTACATAAACTAAAAACCAACAAACAAATACAATAATGTAAGAGTAATTCTTCACCTAGCATATGACTAGCAAACTTACCAATACACCAGCACCTTCACCCATGACAAAGCCATCTCGATCTTTATCCCATGGCCTAGAAGCAGTTTGTGGATCATCATTTCTCTGAGACAAAGCTCTACATGCAACAAAACCACCCAGGCCAATGGGAATAATGGCAGCTTCAGTTCCACCAGCAATCATTAAGTCGGCTTCACCTCGACGAATGTGATTGGCAGCAGCATAGAAGCAATAATTAGAGGTAGCACAAGCGGTTGATATTGAATAATTTGGTCCCATAAAACCAAGCTCAATTGCAAGCAAGGCTGAGCCCATATTTGTTATAGCATAAGGTATGAAAAATGGGGTGATTTTCCTGTAACCTCTCTCTATGAGAGCCTGAACACCGTCAGAAAACACTGTAAGACCACCCATCCCTGTTCCAACAAGCACACCAGCTCGCTCCTTGTCAATCTGCAAAGAATAGAAAAGCAATTAACTCAATGAGATATGTTTCTTGCTTCAAAATAATAAAAGAACACCAAAATTATCATATAACTAATGGCAACACAAACTTCAAGGAACACTTGGAGGGGAAAAATAAAAAACAAAACAAAAAAACAAAACAAAAGAAGTTCCAAGAAGGACAAGGGAAATTCTACCTACACAACACATTTACCTCTTTACACCCTCTATTTGAGATGTTTTCTTTCCCAATTTTACTCATGAGTGAAATTACCTTTAAGGACAAAAGACAAAAATTAAATAGATTTGATTATCTCTTTACACCCATTACACTTCAATCTCTATTTCTTTTCTTCCTTTCTCATTTTTTCTTGTCTACTATACATCTACTTTCAAAAGTGAGAATCATAATGTTTTGATCATAAAAGAAAGCAATGAACGAATAAATGGTAGTGAAGAACCAACAAAAAAATGAAATGGTGATTATTTTTTTTTTTTTTTTTTTTTTGCGTTTTTGTTTCATTTTTTAAAAGGGTTGTTCGACTTTTGTTCAGTGTACCAAAACCAAACAAAATCAAATAGCTTGGAATCACACTGCCGAATAAAAAATACATATCTGGTAATCCATTGTTGAACAAGAAATACTTGTTCAGTAACCTACTGCAGAACAAAAAGTACATATCCAGTAATTCACTACCAAACATTTTCAGTTTCATTTTTTTTTTTTTTTTTTTTTTTTTTTTTTTTTTTTTGCTTTGAAGGATTATACTTCAACTCATTGTAATAAGGCTAGTAGTGCATTGTTAATGGAATATAGTCATGAATTCATTACAGATGATGTTTGTTAGATTTATCTGCTTCCTAGTCATCTAGTACTTCTGATAGAAAGTAATTTGATTTGCTTGCATCACCTATTGTTAATAGATGGGAGAAAGCATATACTACCCATATTGATCAATTATGTACGCTTGTCAGTCCTAATGTAGTAACTATTGAAACTATCGACATAAATGGATTGTGATAATAGCTCAGCATGTTTATATAGATGTTTGTATTCACAAGTTTGAAGATATTTGTATTGACATATTTTATGGATGATTTTATGGATGCTTGATGTTTTAAGGAAAGTATATCTGTAAATGTGTGGCAACAGATGGCTGAACAAATCTAGTTTGTTCAGCAACATGACACCAGAATAATCCAAATTGTTTGGCAATGTATAACCGAACAGACCCATCATAAATTTAGAAGGAAAAAAAATGATGTTTTAAGGAAAGTGAATTTGTAAACGTGTGGCAATAGATGGTTGGATAAATATAGTTTGTTCGGTAACATGACACCAGAGTAATTCAAAAGCAATAAGCGTAATGAGACATATCTATAGGGGTTTTGGGAAATGTTTAATTTAGAGTTAGCTTTTGTATTATAAAGGGTGTAATGAGAATTTCAATTTTTTCTTAATGGTGTAATGAGAAAATATGTAAAGAGATAAAATTGTGGTGTAAGTAGAATTTTCTGAAGGACAATTCTTCAATACTGAAGCCAAACAAATTGACATAAAAGTTCATAGAATCACATCAAAAAAGAATCAATGATAATACATTTAAACATAGTCAATGACAACAACAGGTATTTATTTCTATCTTAGTGAAGTCCCCCATTCATCCTCAATAGATTTGCATAGAGTAATCAACATCACCACAAATGTATTGCCTAGACAGTAGGGATGTTCAAAAAACCAATTTGCCAAATCAACCCATCCGATCCGAATTGAACTGATTTGTCACAATGGGCTTCATCACCATATACAGTCGGCAATGGCTCCGAACTCTTTGAAATTATTGATTGTTAGTTGGTCAACAGATCCAAGAAAAAAAATCACGTAAACCAAACCGACCAAGGTATATATTTGAATAAATAGTGCCATATTATTGAACTTTATCACTTAACATAGCTGGCACTTTTCTATTGGTCTACACTTGTACTATATCCTTATCATTCCATGTAGAAGTTAGTAAGAATCTAAAACAACCCTCGTGATCCTATCATATCAATCAAATCATCCATGCCTCTCTTCACAAACAGAACCAAGTTCAAACCTTAGTTACACGAAGCGGGGGCGGGAGCGGAAGCGGAAGCAAGGAAGCGTGAGCATTTTTTAGGTTGGGAGCGCCTTAGAGAGCGGTAATATATATATATATATATATATTTTAATACACATTAGAATTTTTTTTATAAATATTTTCATTTTAATACACATTAATTATTTTATTTATTTATCATATTTTTTAAATAATGTGTTATTGTTAATTTTTTTTTTATTTTAATTGATATATATATTACAAATAAAAAATTATAATAAATAAGGAATAATAAATTATGTTAAAATAAATAAAAAGAAATGTTAGATATTTTATTTTATAATTTTTTTTATTATATATGATTTAATTAGATTTTTTTAAAAATAATTAGATGATTTGTTTTATTTATTATATGTTAAAAAGTTAAGAAATAATAATTTACAAAAATTATTATTATATATGAAATTTTAAGAAATAACAATTAGAAATTTTATTATATATGATAAAAATTATAATTTATAAATTTTATTACATATATTATATATAATATATATGATCAATTAAAACATAGAGATGAAGATAGAGAGAGAACAACAAACAAATTGAGAGATGAAGAGGGAGAGAAGCAGAGACGAAGAGGGAGAGAGAGAGAAGCACAAGGACGAAGCGAGAGAGACGAAGACGATCGAGAGAGTGACGAAGATGATCGAAGCCCTCAGAGACGAAGACGATCGTGATCGATAGTGAGAGAAGAGAGTGACGAAAGTAATCAAAGCCCTAATCTCAGCCCTAATCTAATCCAACTACAAAGCTGCTACCACTGGTCCACTGTAAGTTTCTCTCAACAACCCTTCTTCTTTCTCCTCTCATGTCGACGTTGAAGGCTAGGGTTTCTCTCTCTCTCTCTCTCTCTCTCTCTCTCGCTCTCCTTTACGATCCCATCTTGGACTGAATCGCGTTTCTCTCTCCACAAAAACGCAATTCTTACACGTTTCTTTCTAGGAAACGCGGAATCGCGATTCTTTCGCAGAATCGCCACCTAGTTGCACGATTCCTGCAACTAAGTTTCAAACTATCAACCCTCCACCTTCTCTCTCTCTCTCTCCAACCCTTCCTCTGTCTCTCTACAAACAATTTCAAGGTGAACAAGATAAGCCATAATGGCATCCAACTCTTCCTCTCTGTCTCTGATCACATCACCCTCCTCGTAATCCCCTTCCTCTACTCCACAAAACCCCTTCTTCATCTCCTTATCTGATTTGCCTCCCTTCCCATGTTAAAGCATCCAACTCAAAATCAATTGGCAATGAGTGGAGACGCCCTTACATTATATTAACCAAGCTTGGGTGGCTTAGATTGGTGATGTGGGATTAATTCTTAACATTTTTTTTTTTTTTCAATGGGGGAGAAATAACCTAACAACCATTTGTTAGAGCATATGTGAAGGTAGAGTCTCACATCGGACAAAGAGTAAACGAGATGAGTCTTAATATACATTAGATGGACTCTCCACTTATAGACTTAAGCTTTTAAGTGGGTATGAGTTCCAAACAATGTATATTGGGCCCTACTGTTAGGTATGTGGATCTAGAGTTTCTCACCGACGGATTGGACCGGTGTTGCTGCGTGCTTGTGAGCTCACCAATTCCCTAACAACTGGTATCAGAGCCAATTGATGCGTGCTTGTGGGCTCACCAATTCCCTAACAACTAGTATCAGAGCCAATTCCTGGTGCATGTGCCAAGGTTGGACCGCAGCAAGGTGACTCTCAATGGAGTATCATGCTGTGTGTGTGGGTGGCTCAAGTTGGACTCGATGTTGAAGTCTTATAGATCAAGGGAGGGGCACATACGATCTATGATGAACCTGCTAATGATAGATCATACTTGAGGAGCAAGGCGAGGCCCGATGTTTGGTTAACACATGAGGGGGAGATTGTTAGAGCATATGTGAAGGTAGAGTCCCACATCAGATAAAGAGTAAAAGTGATGAGTCTTAATATACATTAGATGAACTCTCCACTTATAGGCTTAACTTAAGATTTTAAGTGCGTATGAGTCCCAAACAATGTATATTGAGCCCTAGTGTTAGGTGTGTGGATCTAGAGTTTCTCCTCGATGGATTGGACCGGTATTGTTGCATGCTTGTGGGCTCTCCAATTCCCTAACACCACTAAGTACAACTCCATAATGGAAGAGAAATAAACTAAACACCCCAAAAGGTATCAAACTCCTCTCCATAGGAGCTGAACCCGAGTCCTCACACCACAAACAGTGCTACACAACCACTAGGCCAAATGCCCTGGTTCACCCGACAATCACTCTATCAGGTGGATGGCCAAACAATCATAATAAGCACAAATCATGGGATTTCCTTGTATTATGATATCTTTCATATCTTCTAATATCTTTGACAATACAATCTTATACCCAACATCCCGAAGCCCCCTTTCCTCAATCCTCAACGTCCTTCACCCCCTCACCCTCCTTAGCCTCCCTTACTCCCTGAAACTATGTCCCTTAATCCCCTTGCCTATGCAATTTTTTTCTTTTTTTTGGTTATGGTTGGTAAAGAATGAAGATTAGATTGATGATGGATATTGCTCATCTGAGCCGAAAATCACGATTAAAAGAGAACCGATGCTTCAGAGTTTCGATGAGTGATTGGTCAAAATTAGGTGACATTTTAATATACCTGAAGTGGTCTGGTCAAGTGACGGTTCGGCAACAAAACTGAATCAACTCAACCCATGAACAACGCTACTAGACAATAGATGGCTTTTCTTTTTAAGGTTGGGGGTGGGGAGGTGTGACAACCAACACTTCATGCATATGCATATCATGTCATTCATGTATGTTAATCTCATGTCAAGTGCTTACTTGTTTAAATTAGAACTTGATGAGAGCATACGAGAAGGAGAAGTTAGCT